TGACCTTCGACGAGTTTTATGGATTTTCGTCACTCGCAAGATTCAAAGGTTTTTTTGATTATCGGTTTTGATAAAGCTTCGAGAAATTGAAAAAAGTTTTGCATGCAGAGTCCAATACAACTATCTATAGATTTTTAAGGACATTGAAATCCGTTGAAACATTCACGATTTATTTTCAACAATAAATGGATTTGCGGGTTGAATTTTTCTATTATTTGCAGCATTTACAAAATATTTTTCTTCGTTCTATCATGAAAATAGAAATTGTATTTTTACGAAATCTCTCTTGGTTCATCGAGCTTATTTTCTTAAAAATTTTAAAAAATTCATGCATTAAAGATTAAGATAATATTAAATTATTGTTATACATGTATCCTCGACAGCTTATTATAAGAGATAAAATTAACGCTCAACTATTGACCTTTGCCGAATAATAAAGTATGCTGAACTTGCGAGAATTCAAAGGTCACTTAACACGCCTGCAAACGATAAACGAGCTGCTCGCTAGCCAGTAAAGTAGGTGATAACCTTTTTCTAGGCCACAGGCTACATCTTTTTTATCTTCATCTATTCGTAGCAGCTATTCGCATCGCTCGAAAAAAGATGCAAAAAGAGAAAAAAAAGCACACATTAAAGAGCACTTAGTAACGTTTATGCAATGAGACGCTATTGTCTGGAAAGCTTTGCAATTAATCAATTATCTTATACGTATGCGTGATATTATACATAGTTGAGAGCTATTTTAAAAGAGGTGTCCGTGGGTTCTCGTATTTATAAAAACATTCGATATCGCAAGAAACTAATGCGACGTGAAAGATTGATCGGTGATATTTTTTTCACAACTATAACTCAAGTTTATATTGAATATACGAACCTTGATATATTTTCTGCGAGTGCGCTTGACGTTCTACGGATGCGAATTGAAAAATAGAAAGATTCCGTAAATTTTGAGAGGAAGTGGAACGTTTTCAACAGATTTTCGATAATTTTATTTCTATACAATATCCGCGCTTTAAGGGGATCGATGCGTATCTCTAGAGTCTAGATATAGATCGGGCGATTGAAGAAAGTTATTTTTCATCGTTGAATCGTCGCGTCGCTTCGGAATAATCGGAAAGGTGTGAAAAAAGTCTGATTTAAAGTCTAAATTAAATTTCATGACGGGGTGACCAACTTTTTGCTGCCGATAGCAACTACTGCTACAAGCACGCAGTGCGCACGAATGTTCGTATTCGCGGTTACGCCAAAATGCGCAAGAAAATATGAACGTTCATCATTCGAACGGAACCGGAAACCCATGCGGATATATCCTCGGTACGGATTCTGCTGTGGGGAGGATATGGGTGGGCAGAAGGGAGAGTTGCTTAAATCTGCAGAGTTAGGACAGGACTTACCGCCAAGACGCGGCTCGCAAATGGCGTTGAAATTAATTTCAACAAAGTTCGTAAATTATTAATATCCGCCGGGCCGGCACGCGCTGACTCGCTTGTTCCCGGCTAAATGTGCCGTTTAATTAGGAAATCCGCGATTGTGGTAAGACGGGGATTGTCAACGGTTTTACGTTACAGGCTACCGTATAGAGCCTTTCCATGCGCGCTGACCGCCTGCCACGCAGGTGGATTGTGAATATATCTCGCATCCGCCAGTGAAACGAGCTTAAAACTATTCCGACAACTTCGCTGTGCAATGCCGCGTATCGTATCACCGTGCGTTGCGCCCACGCGCAATTACGCGCCATGGAAGTTTGTTAAACACCGTGGCGAAATCGTCACCATGTTTAGGAGTAATGTAGTTCTCAGAATTCTTTTTTCGCGTAATATTATACATATACTGAAACAACTGCAGCGTGAAATTGCACCGCTGGTTGGATTAAAGCGTTAATCGCGGCATTTTGTACAAGTCAGATTATCAGAGTGTGACTATAACTTTTAGACTGTATGTACATGCTGTCGTAACTTGGACAGGAAAAAATTGGACGAAAATTGGGCAGGAATTTCAGAACAATACCATTTTCTCTCCTCATACATAATATATGATAGTTTACATAAGCAACGATCGCTATTCTAAAAACTGTCGATTGCCAATCTCACTGGGATAGCCACGTCTGACAGCACGATATTCTCGCCAGTATAGAAATTGATCGCCGTAAGTGAATTCGTTTCCCAAATATAACGGGAGACGTAGTCGGAATACTTGGTGACTCTAAGAATTTTGAGAGGACGGCTCATGAATGCAAATTAAAACGTTTGCCGCTTCTGCCGCGCATCTCTTTCCCCCCTAGCCTTTCTTAGTGCTATTTGGCTTCTCTTACAAACGATGTTCAAAAGTCGATACTCACACCGCGCGGGTGACGCTTAAATATTAAGTATTATACACATGTATACAAAATATACATAAATTATAATCTTAAATGAAGCTGTCAATAAATCTGTAGATTAATTGATGAAAAGACAATTGTGTACATTGCATAATTAATTAATTTTCACACGAACGCGTTGAATGAGTTTCACAGAATTAATGTATTTTTAATCGAATATCGTTAAACACGATCAACATCGCTTGTAAGGCCGTTGCATACCATTTTCACGACATTAGATGCCCGCAAAATCGTCCGCTTCCCCACGTCTTTCTTTATTTTTGTGGCATGCGCATACCCCTAAGTTTCTCCGCAGATATATACGAGCCACAACGCAATGCTCGACAATAAGAAAGCTTTAGAATGGCCATTACGGCACGGCATAATGCACATTTCCAGTCCAACATTTCCAATAATATGCCGCTGTTAAAGCGAAAATTATGCATTGACGGAACGATGAAGAAACGATAGAGAAAATTAAATGAAGATGCAATTTTTCCAACGAGAAATATATTAATATTGCTTTTGACACGCGCGCTATTCGTAAAAACATTTGCGTTTCTTCGAATATTGAGCCGAAATTTAGAAATGTATTTTCTTAACATATGTCATATACACATTAGACATAAGTCTCAAAGTGAAAATCGAGCTAAAAATGACGCTAAGAGAACGGATGAAAAAGGAAAAGCTTGAACACGGCGCGAATGATATTTCCAATATTCTCGCAGCAACGCCAAGTTTGCTATAACGCAAAGTTCGAGATAAGTACGATCCTGATACAAACACTCATACAACATTCATGACTGACGACGACGCGACGTATTGATACCCCTTGCACCTTTCCAGTTTCAGTGCATCCGAGTCTTTTTCCCAGTATCAATGCCTTTCCCTCTCAAGCGCAACCGTTAAAAGCGCCAGAATTGATACAAGTGTCTTCTCTCTCTCGTTAATTCAAAGAGAAAAGGTATACATATTTGTCTGGTATATTTGGTATTTGGTATAACTAGCCTGGTTTAACATATGAGAAGGAATGTACGTATAAATAGATGTATAGATATACACACGCAATGCAATATATATACATAGATATTTGAAGTCTTGTGAGAGGTTCACGAAGGTCGTTAAGGTAGCTACTCGCCCAAGATATTGCATTACTTTTTCCAAACTCGATAAAAGCCATTGTCGGCCTCGCGTCGATGGCTTTTTTAGGCGCGAGGTCGCAGCAATAGTGACCTGGCCAAATGACAGTTTTATCGAATTTCTTCATATCCTAGATACGAACACATATCGAAACGTGTATTGTACAGCTAAACGATGAATTACGAGATAGTCCTGTATTCAACGATGCATTATTGCATCTCTATGCTAGCTTTTCGGCATCCCGATTACACGCATCGTATAGCAATATTAATTACCGCAGGCTAGTTTCTAAACCAAGTCAACGGTAAGTTAATATTGCACGCGCTGGCTCGTGTGATTTATTTAGGAAAATAATGCCCGATAATTATCGCAACTACGATTGTGACGAATATATTTAGCTGTATATCTCAATTATGCGTAATTTTTTATCACAATTTCGGTAGATGAATTTTTACATATGGGTGCGTAAAATATAATTTTACATCTTTACACGTGCAGGGTGGTAACTTTGAATTTTACAATCATATTGCGGAACGCTAATGGTTTACGCACGGATAGACAGTGCCCTGTTTATACTGCGAGAGGAAACTCCTAGGACGAGAAGCGCGGAAAATATATATATATTCACGGGAAAATATACAAGTACGCACGCTCACGCGTTCGTAACGCCAGGGTTTGCCTAATGACGGCATTTCTTCGGAAGATTCATCTTGCGAAGCGTACCTCAGCGATTCTGGCGTTAAATTACGGAAAGATTAATAACTGTCGAGAAGATTAAAGCGTAGAGACTCGAAACGAATACGCGCTACAATCGTGGGTACCGTTATACGCGGCAAAGCGGGTTAAGATATTTATCACATTAAATAATTTCATGCCTTCTCCTCCTTGTGAGACTCGTTCAATCTTAATGCTATGCGAATAGTGTAGACACATAAAGACGGCGAACTCTTAAAAAAAATGCGACAAGGCTAGAGACACGAATATCTTTTGTATTACAAGTTTAATTTATTTGATAACAAATAGACGGTTTGCCTGGCACAAATAAAGATTTTTTTTTTTTCTTCATATTGCCATTGTACGCTTTCAACGAGCGGGATTTCAAAAAATTCGTCGCATATATTTTAATTTGGAATATTTTATTTCCGCTAATAGAAGTAATAAATATGTGTCACACGATTATTATTATTATCATACTTTTGTAGTCTTTGCGTGATTTTTATGCAATGTGTTCTCGCGATACAGCAGAGCCAGTGCTCGTTTGCATATTATAGCAGCCGTCGATGCGCAAGCACTTGTAATTAAAACACGAAATATTCATAATTTAATTCGTACAACGTATCTTTCAGCACAAAAAGATGAAGGCAACGAAGAAAGCTGTCGCGTAATTTAATTGGCATTTTTTCTTCCTTTGGCTGTGCCTCAATTAATTACTTTCGTTACATTCCCTTTTTATTCGTCAACTGTTGCCGCTCGTTAAGTCACCCCGTGCGTCTCTTTGTTACAGCGTCTCTCTGCGACATAGTTTACAACAGCGATACAACAAAAACAGGCATAGTTATGTCACCTGGATACCCGAATCCATATCCATCCAGGACACATTGTACATACGACTTTCAAGGAAGAGGAAAGGAACGGGTGCAGGTGATATTCCAGGACTTGAATCTGTTTCATTCTCAGAGCAATCCAAATGAGTAAGTTTTAATCATATTTTACTATATATGTAGTTCCACTGCTCAACTATATTCGTTGTACGTTGAATATATCTTCATTCGGAATATTATATCTGTTTTCGTGAGACACTTGCACGGTCAGAGACGCGCGCGATCGATTTGTACGTCGCGTCGTGAATATGCCGGATTTATATACAGAACTACGTTTTCACAAGTACATCATTTTATAGTAGCAATGTAACTCTTATAACACAACACATAGATTGTGCCTAGACCTTTCGATATATTCTTATGACACACAACAGGTGTATGCTGCCATAAACATTATGTATTTGCATGCGTTATGTAATAGAGTTAGTTGCTCACTCTGTCTTCACGCTGTTACATCGGAATACGACAAGTGCAATTTCAAAATTTCATGGGAAACGCTTTGTAAGCTTAAGAGTAACGCTGGTACTGCTTTATACTTTAACGTGTTACATCTTTGTACCCTTTGCTTTCGAAAATTGTCCGATATCGAAAATGTGAAGAAACCGTAGGTTCCAATTTAGCAAATGTAGTAAAATTGATGCCTTGGAGATTTTCAAATTTTTCTGGCACGTTTACGCACATCGCGCTTTCTTCCCTTCCAGGTCAATACCCATTCGCCTAAATTCGCCCATTCCTATACGTAAAGTTGCATTGTCACTTTACCAGTGTAAGCATGGACGGCGACTTTTGTGAGGTGTGTGTGTGTGTGTGGAGTATTCTACACATTAGAATTTTTTATGTGTGGAATTCCACACATGAAAAATTATTTATGAACAATTTGAAAACAAGTGTTAAACAAAAAATAGTTAAATTTTTTTCCAACTTTTATTTCAATCAAAATTTCAATTACACACATTGAGCGAGCCAAGGGCGGCCGATAAATATTCACGCAGTTCTTTTTTGCAGTTTGTATTTTTCTCCGCGAAGAGCGCTACTCTATAATTTTTCGTGCACGACTAGTCTTTATTTGTTTCGGAATATACGAATTCATATTTGTATATTCGATAATATTCAGCAATTATATTACATATGCACTCCGAGATTGCTGAAACTTTAGATAATAGTTACTTTCCATTTACACCGATTCTCATATAATTCTCACTTGTGACGTCATAACTCAGTTAAATGCGCGTTCCTTTTGCTGATTCTGATAAATGAGATTCAACCGAGTTTTTATCCATAATCTGCACAAGAGCGAGTCCGTGTGCTTTAGTAAGTCTCATAAACTTACTTCAAAGTAAGGTTATGAACCTGTGTTGACATATGATAACTTTTTACCAAAGTAAGCAAGTAGTGACGTCATTAAGCTGAGTATAAAATACTCAGCTCACTTCAGACTCAGTTTCACTTGTGTGTAAGTGGAAAGCAACTATCGATGCACTTATGGATGAGTTTATTAAAAAAAGTAAAATTCAGAGTTCAACGTTTGCTCTACAAGATTAAATTTATTAAATTTTTTCAAAAAGTTTTATTTTATGATTTTATAAGTATGTTTCAAGTTAAACTATAAATATTTATAAAATATTTATAAAATATTTATAATTTCGTTGCTCATCATTTTGTGGGCGACTATAAAGAGATTTTAATATGGAGATTAAATAAGTTGTGGAAATTTTTTG